ACAGTTGCATAGACTGCATGGATGGAGGGACTTGTATCTCATTTGTAGGTACTACACACATCTGAATTTCACAATATCAGATAAGTTTTCTGACTTTCATCAGGGAGAATTCTTAAAATCTTTTGCCAGTTAAACAGAGTTTTGTGTCTTATTGTAAAGAGCTGTGCTTGGTTACAGCAAAGTTGCTGTCTGCTTTTCAATATCAAGTCCCAGAGATATCTCCATCTCCATGAAACACACAGAGGGGATTTGGAGCCCATACCTGACACTTTTTAGATAAACATAATTTTATTAACATCCCCTTCAAATACACACTATCACCTTGCTTAATCAACCACAATGGAAGAGAAATCAATCAAAGTCTACTCTTGATGCTGAAATCCCACCTTTGACAACATCATCAGAATAAAAACAAGGAAAAGGCTGTATTAAGACATTTGCAGCAAYGTTAACCGCATTAACCAATTTTGTCTTGGAGCTGTTGGTGCATGTCCAGCTTATCAAAGCCCACAGTCACTTACTTGTCCTCTAAGAGGCTTTGCCCCGTGATCAGGTTTTTCCCAGATGGTGCATAGTCCCAGTTCTCTTCCACAATCCCGAGGTAGTAAGTTCTGGTCCTTGCTTGCACCGCTGCCCACAGCCAGAGGAAGCCCAGGGCGCAGAGGCGGCCGCCGCGCTGTGCGGGAGGCATTTGTGGTGGCGATGCGAGGATGGCACAGGCAGCAGCAGGATCACCACAGGCAGCTCACCCCTCCCTCCCTCCCAGCTCTCAACAAGTTATAAATAAGGAAGGGACAGGCAAAGCTCCTCCTTTTCAGCAGGTTAGGACGGGGATAGGTAGAGAGCCAGGCTATGCAGAGCAGGGAGAAGGTTGCTGTCATGGCAGGACCTTTGCCAATCCTTTGGTGAGTGAGTAAATTACTCATTTACCTGTCCAGGCTAGAGCCAGTTGGTGGTTTTTAGCTTGGATGCTTTTTAGTCCTCCTTTTTCCAGACTAGGTGATAGGGCATATTGGGGCAGACGAGGGATTGGTGGTTTTGAGATCCCTGTAAAAAAACCTTAAAAAAATTTATTTTAACTTCTTTATAATTTCTGAGATTTCTAAAGATAGCAACTTGTTGCGTTCATTGTTTTTTTTTTTTCGATGATGTAACACTAAGTTATAACCCACATCATCAGAGACAGCAAGAAATTGGCCAGTACCTCTCCAATTTCTAGCATTTTCTGATCCATTTATTAAGACTGCAAGTGATTCGAATATATTCAGTCTCAGAGTGCCCAGAATCAGGCCTCTTTTTACAAGCATCCCTGGAAATTAGAACCCTTATAAAGTCTTTCCATTTGGACAGCTAAGAATTGARGCATACAAAGATCACCCTTTTATTAACCTTGGTAATTAACATGCCCACGTAGCTCTCTAGAAAATCACTCCCTCCCTTTATAGCTTAACTCCTCTAAGAGCATATCTGTGTTACCATCTTGGCAAAGCCTAGTGTAAACATACATTTGACAGGATTGGATATTCTAAATCGCTTAGGAAACATCCCCAAAAATATCACCCAGGTGACAWGACATTTTGCAAAATCATGCATCTCTGTTCCTAATTACAGACATAAAAAAAAGTTGCAGTTCTGCAATACAGTTCTTGAGACTCATTGCAAGCTTTAAGAGTTGTGAAATTCCCCTTTCAGGTCCAGAACCATCTCACTTCTGCCTGTGGAAGCTAATGGTTATCCATGATGAGGGGTACAGGAGGCTTGGCAAGTGGATTTGGAAGTCACAGGTTTAATGCTGTCAGCCGAGACGTAACTCAGTGATGTGAATGATATTTTATGTGGCAACCATGTGAGGTTCACCCTCTGGCACATGGCAGTGATGGCTGCACGTACTGCCAGCTGTGCCATGCTGAGCTACTCTGTGCTCACTGGGGTGTGGGTGTCTCYGATGTCACAGAAAATAACTCAAAAAACCAGGTGCTGTTCCTAGCAGCCCAGCTCCAGGCACCTGGACCTTGACAGATCTCATCGAAATTAAGAGACAAGACACACAGACACARGCAGTGTCGTGTTGAAGAAGCTTTTGGTGGTTTTCGGCTATGCTTTGCATCTCTGTGGCTATGAGGACTGAAAACACAGTGCATGTGGGTTACGGATACAGCCAGACAACTGCAAAAGGCCAGCTTGGCACAGCTGTGAAAGCAGGAGTCCCTCGGCCCCCCAGGTTCCCTCTGATACATGCTGATGYTCATCTTCTCTTGTCAGTTAATTGATGAACAAGAGGAGAGGTGATMGGACAATACAGGTGTACAAACAGAGATCCTGATCCTCAGGGGCAGCACCTTCAGACTTCCTGATACCCTTGGAGACCTTGCTCATCTCCTCACCCTTCTGCTGCAAGCCACATGCTGCCCAGCCTCTTGGCTTCTCACATCAAGCTGTATCCTCTCTTCCAAAACACTGATACTTTAAAATCATCTCTTCCTTTTCTACTGCTTTGTTGTGTCACTTTGTTGTGTTACTCAAACGACAATGACTTGRAGTACTGTGATTCTAGAAGGAATAATTAGAAAGCAAAAGGAAACACAATGACTTGTGGGACAGAACTCTGCCAGCCCCTGGCCCAGCGGTCGAACACGCCTCTGGGGTGGGACACACAGGCCACCTGGTGGGCTACAARCCTGTGAAAAGGCCAAGGTGACACTTGGAGGTTAACAGGATCCCGCTGACATCTTGGCACAGAGCCTAGCAATAGTTCCACTGCCCAGAGTAGCTCTCCTGAGCCCAGGGGAGTTACAAACTTCATCTCCTGTCACTCAAACACCTGCATTTACAAGAACTCGTGCCTGCTATGCAAATATTTATTGTTGTAATGTAGCAAGCATTTGCATTTGAGTAGGGAATATGTTTATTTATAGGGCATTGTGCACTTTAAATGAGATTATGTGGAGTTCAATTGCTTAAATCAGCTATTTGCATGCMATTAGAGATATTTAAGGAGTGGGTACAGGGCCAATTTAATCTAGACAGTGTTGCTATGACTTCCTGCCTGTGTGCTTTTTGGTAACTTAAGAATTTGCTATATGTGTAAATCTCTGTATATGTGGACTCATACAACACAAGTCCATCAAGCAAATGGGGAATAGGAAGGGGGAGTGTCCAATTCTGAGCTGGCATCTGACAGCATTACAGTCATTTAAATAGTAATAGTGCTCTGTCCTAGTTTTTCTATTGCTTCCTATGTACCTAGAATTGGGTCCTGGTTGCTTTCTTGTTAGACTAACTCTTTCAAATTCAAATATGGAGTTAATTTATTTGTCTATTGCTGTAAAATTTATTTATGTAACAGGAATAATGTGTAGACATTAGCACCCTATATCAGCCATGTGTTGTAAGTCTGGTAAACACCTTAGCTTGGCTTGGGCACTTAGTAGATCTGGCAACTTGTATGCCCTTTGCATCCATACATTAAAGCTTAATTACCTTGTCACRTCATTAAACCCAGGCACATTTGCATTCCGGAGAGGTGCTGTGGGTGTGACTCAGAAAAAGATGAAAGAGCAGMTTTTTTGCCCTTGCATCAGGAAAATTTCTGGGAAGTTCCCTTCCAGCAGTGAGGTCATGGGTTTAAAGTTGTCACTTTGTCCAGGATCCTTTCAGCAAAGGGGGTGGTTATTGGTTACTCTGAGACTTTCTGTCCCTCTGAAGGCTAAAATTAGAGCATGGCTGCATTTCAAAGTTTCACAATGAGAAGTAGTGTTCATAGGTCTGAAGGGTGAATATCTTGAATACCAGTCTGCGAATGAGCCCTGAAACATCACCAATAGAGCTTTCTTTTCAAGTAAATCAGGAATTATTGTAATAATTAGCTGAAGTTAGTGCCCAGAGGTGTGGCAACTAATGTTAGTGTATTAAGTACAATACTTAAGTTGTGATGGCTGTAAGATCAATRAAGAGAGATGATGGATGTGCTGACCTTCCTCAGTTCCTTGAAATTAGATCATAGATGAGCACTTTATTCAGGCTGCCTATGACTGAAGCCCATCTTTCATTCTCCATTGAGCAGATGATGAGCTGATGTTCATGCAGATTGTCTGTTCTGTGATTGTCTACTCTGTTTCCTCTGCTTCTTCTCAATAGTAGTAGTTCCCATTCATAGCTGATTCTTCCTGCTCCCTCTGCTATGTTGGCTTCTGACTCCACTGCAGTCCAGGTTAGGGAATTTGYCTCTCTGTTTCCAGCATAGGATTACCCTCAGTTGGTATTGTCACCRGCCCTGGAGCTGTGCCTGYAGTCACCACCCCAAGGTGACAAAGACTGTCTGTGGTACAGCTGGGAACTGAACCCTCCTAAGTTTCACATCACCCTTTTAACCCTTTTAACCAAGACATCTCCATCTGTTGTTGCACACTCTCCAGAGATAAATACCCAATAAATATAAAAGTCTCTTTGTACATCACTTAAAAACAGTTTCTATTGCACTTTCTAATAATTTTCYGAGTTGCGGCAGCAGTGAACAGAATACAGACCTCATGATCTTGAGTATTCACTCAAGGTGCATGTGAATTACTTAAATCTTTTGGGTTCACACTGGTAGGTTGRAAATCTCAAAAGGCATTCACAACTTCTATTTGCAGTTCTGGTTAAGACTTTGATGAGAAAGGCTTCCTTGCMATATACAGCATTTCCCTGGAGCATTCCAGCTCTGAGCACTGGAACTGTTGGAGACAGAAAGACAAAAAAGCTGCAGAAGCTCCAAGAATAACAAGGATCTACAACCAGTGAGGAGATTAGAAAGGCAGCTGTATCCCATACACACCTGACACAGTGAACCTGACTCACATCTGCCCAAAAGTCTTTGTGGCAGGATGTAAACTGAAGCCATCCCTCCAGATTCCCATCTCAGAGCCCACATGGCTCCCTGGCATTGCCTTCCAGCAGTTTGGGCTCAGTCCATGCACCCAGCTCAGGGTCACAATTGGGCATTTACCACAACAGTCTGGAGATCATTAGGGCAGAATAATTTTCTCTGTACATCTTGTGCAGACACTCTCCTTGCTACTTTGGTACTTTATCAGTTGTGGACAAATCTTGGACAAATCTTGAGGCAAGGTGTGAAATGGAAAAAAGGGCCTCTGTTCTATCAGAAGCAGCACACAGGTCCTTTCTTTTCCRTCAAGGTTTTGAGCCAAACCCAGTGTCACTCACACCAACAACGAAGTATGATAACATAGATGGATTTAGACTTTGGAGAAACCAACTATACATTTGTTTAAAACCCCTAAAGATATTTAATTGTGAAGAATGCAAAGGAATGMAACAATGAGAAGAAAGGCATTTAACTATGTCCTGAAAAGAGCTGCAAGTTTGAAGAGATTACAATAAATTGCCAAATAAGCTGGGCAAGTAAAAAATGTTCATCCTTAAAGGCCACAAAAACAAAGCTAAAAAAATTAAGTTTTGATCCTAATTAGGAGAAGCTTCTTGTGTGCAGYAACTCATGTAAATCTGCACTTTTAAAACAAGGTTAATACCTTGACAGAACTTCAAGGTACTTTATTTATGAGTTTCTATGGTGCTGGCTATTGTAGCATTTAACAAACATGAAAGAGCTTAGCGTTACGTCAGCACTGTGGGATAGAGCATGTTYATTAACCCTATTATACAAATGAGGAAGGAGCAAGGGTACGCAATGTCCAGATGCTCACAAAGCAAGGCAGCCTGGTCTCTTGACTCCCTGTCCAGAGCTGGGAGTGAGGCAACAGCYCTCCTGCCCCACAGGCTTCCTCCTGAGCATGAGGCTGGCAGAGATCAGGGTCTTGTTGGACTTGCAGTGTTGGTGGAAGTGATGCTCTGACTGGTTGCACAGTGAAATGCTTTCACACACATCTTTGCTGCCTGCCAGCAGGAGGGCCAGTGCCGAGGTCCACCTGAGCTCTCCCTCAGGCAGCACCACTGCCTGTCCAGCCTTCCTACTCACCCCGTGGGCATCATGGGATCCTCTCCCATCACGTCTCAAGGCACTGACCTACTTACTTACTCTAGAGGAAATGTGACCCTTTTGTTTTCCTCCTATGAGATCATTGCCTCATTTTTATTTTAGGTAAATAGGAGAGTTGTGGTAATAAACCCCAGCACTGGAAACGTCAGCAGAACTATTTACAGCAGGTGGCAGAAAGGAARGTATCAAGCATTGCACGTGGAAAAGAAAGAACCGATATGATTGCATCTGCACAAGTGGCTTCCAAACTGTTGCAAACTCAGTTGTGCCAGGCAGCCCATCCCCAAGAGTGCTGTTAAGCTGCATAATCCAGCAGGATTGTGACACTTTGCTTGGGGTCTGTTGATTAAGTAGGAGGGTGTCGTTTGAAGTGGAGAAGCTGACAGGAGTTCCCGGACATCCAGATTTCTTCTGGCCAGTTCCTCTGCCTGGAAGGAGAAAATGTGGAAAATGTCACAACCTTTTGGAAACCTGGATGATTGCCTACAGTGAAATTATGGGATTTRTGGGATAAGCTGCCMACTCTATTAGTGTCTTTCATCTGAGTCTACAAAGGTTTGCAATAAGGAGCAGCTGCTCTTCGGTAACTCTGGTWCTTCCTATTTCAAGAAGCCTATGTTACAGCCCGAGTGCCATTCCAGGAACGGGAGCTTTTCAGGTCTGATATTAAAAAYAAAAATMATTTCTACAGCATTGGAAATTCCATAGCTATGGGAAAACYCTCTCTCCTCCATTTTGAAGAGTTTGCTGTGGTCTTCCAAAACATCACCTGCCTTTGTTTTATAATTCCATGTCAGTACCATGTCAGTACTTACATAGTTGCCACCGAGAATTTCTCCTCTCCTCTCCCCAGTTCCTTCCTCGTCTCTCCTTTCCCCTGAGAAAAGTACAGGCAGTTGCAGTGCACCCTTGTTTTAACAGAGATATCTTTAAGACTTCAGATTTGGGTCAGGACTCTCAGCATCTTTCTTTGCTAGTAAGGGCTTGTGAGCACCATGGCAGGGCCCGGTAAGCCCACACTATGTATACAAGGCTGATCAAATTTGCCAACTCTGGTACAGATTTCTCTCTGAAAGGGTTATGAAGTGAAAGGCAACACGATGCAAACCTGGCTGCCCCATCCCTGGGTCCAAGCTGGAGGGTTTCAGTGCTGGAATCCACTTCCCTTTCWGAGATGAGGACTAACTCAGTCACTCTGGCTTTGCCTGCGTGGTGTCAGCAGAACTTCCTTCTTTCCCAGGCCAGGTTCATCAAACGATGAACTTTGTGAATGGCAGTGCCTGAAGTGCGTCCTCCAGCTCCTGCAGGGTGCTGGGGGMAGATCACACATGTCCACAGTCTGTAAGTTTTGAAAGTAAGCAGTGGGCATCAAACCCCCCCTCCGGACACCTCAAAAAGCAGCCTGAGCCTCCTAAGTGCTGAGCAAGCTCCCCCAGTGGAGGAAGCATGGTTTCAGCTGACTAACTGTAAGCACTCAGTTAGCTTAGCTTCTCCTCCTGTGTGCTCATCTAAAAGWGGGGATGATTACATCTGACTCCCTCTCCAGGTATTTGGAAGCTAATTTAGTTAATGCTTGTCAAGCACTTTCAGGTCTTCAGATGAAARGAGCCGCAGATAGGCAAAGCATTGCTATTACCATTAATTATCTCCATTGTGCAAGGAGACATGAAAGCAGCAAGAGTGACGATTACTCGCTTCCTTTACAAGTGTCAAGACACAGCGCAAATACACAGACAGGGATCCGCCCTGCCCTGCAGTGCTCCTAATCTCACCAGCCAGATCAGCCAGACAAAGAGCAAGAAAGAGCGCTAAACCAGACAAATGCAAGGCGTGTAGTGACTTAGCGCGCACGGGCTGGGTTTTGCAACAGCTGCTTTTTTACAAGTGTCCTGTTAGCCAAAAAAAGCACATTATTACTGTTCTGTGGTATTTAAAAATCTCGAGTCAGGCTCTCAAAAAGGGAAAAGTTTTTTACAGAGGATACTAAATGCTGACTCTCCTCATTTGCCCTCTAATTTTTGAGAAGATCAAGCTTTGACGTTTTTCTTTGCGGCCATGAGTACAGAAAATAYTTCATTTATTATGAAGTCAAAATTATCCACAAACAATTTGAAGTATTTGCATATGTAGAGCAAATTCCTGGTGGCAACAGGTTTCTGTCAATCAACTGCTCAGCAGGAAGGAGGTGAGCATGGGCTTGGGGGCAGCTCACCCCTCTTCCCTCCCGTGTACCCAGTGAGTCTCTCACAATTGGTTTTCATTCTCCCCACGGTGCCAGAGGGTTGGGTGTAYGTCACAGAGGAGTTAACATGCAGTGATGAGATGCTCCACAGTAATTTGTTCCTTTATCTAATGCCTGACTTGACAGGYAGACAGATACAGAAGTAAAAAACCAAGTGGTCAAGTCACACAGGTGACTGCGAAAGGGCTGGAGCTGGGTCAGTGGAGGGAGTGGGAAACATGACCAAAACCAGCAGCGTAGATGGATAATGGGATAATCTGGGATGAGATGTGCCTGTCAGGGAGTGCCACGCAAACCCAGGCATCAGGCATCTGCATCCCTCACCTCCTTCAGGGTCTGCTTCACCTCAGCAGTGGGATGAGGTCGTAGCTGGGCCTGCAATGTCCTGGGTGAATCYTGTAATTGCTGAACCTTCCTCTGACTGCTGTGTGAATCCAAATGGTTTCCTTGTCTTTTCCTTTTTCCTTGTCTTCCTTCCTTTTTAAAAACAGCCAGTGAACATGCTTGGGACAATATCAGCTGCATTTTTTGTTGAATTTATCATGGGATAAGGATGCCTGATGGAAGACACCATCAGACATGTGCTTTAATTAAACTATTGAATTAAAAGAATTCCAGCCTCTTTAAAAGAAGTGGTTTTTTCCAAGGAAGAGACAGCTGTGTTTCCCAGAGATCATAGGGAAATGCCTCCTTATCTCATCAAGGATATTAAAAATAGGTTTAAAATGATGAACCAGCTGTCTTCCATGCACTGCTTCTGCTTTCCAGGGCTGCATTCCATCCTTGGGCACCTGGCACCTCCATGCTCCCTCTAATGACCATCGACTGGTGGGTCATTGTCCCTCTGTGCCATTGCAGGGGAAGCACACAGGCACAAAGCCCCGGCGTTGCACAGGGTGAGATGTGCCTCCCAGGAAACACCCTCCAGGCTTTTATTTTGGTCATGTGTGTGGGTTCATCTCTCACCCAGCTCTTTTATGAGTCTGTCTCCACCCAGTATCTTCCCTCTTAACACTTCCTCGTGCTCTTGCCTTTCTCCCAGCCTCTGGAGACATGCCACAGTTAATGCAGGTCTTGTCCTTAGCTCAGTTYAGGTCCACACCTAATATAAAATATGGATTGCACCACTGTGGAAGGATGAGAGCATATGCCAGATGATTCGTTCATTTTTTTATGTCTATCTTTTGGATATCTTCCTCAAGCTGGTTCAGGCAGAGCTACCTGGAGCTGGCTGCCCTGGACCATGCCCAGATGGCTTTTGAATATTTCCAAAACTGGAGATGATMTATCTCCAGGGATGGAGACAGACAGTTCACCCCTTTTCAGAAAGGACCTTTAATTTTGTCTGTCTAATTTTAGACAAGAAAAAAAAAAAAACCACCTGCAGTCCACTTCCCTCAACATCCTCTCATTCTCAAAAAAGCCTTGAATCTGMTTTCCTGTGGGCATAGAAACAGAATAAATAATTTGAAGATGGAGACCGCTTCATTTCTGGGAAAATTTGTGATGTGTTTGTCTGTGCAAGCAGAGAATCCCTTTCAGAAAYCCATGTAGTGCTAAGAAATGCCCCAAAGCATTTTCCACTTTGGGAAATATTGATTTATTTTCCTCAGGCCCTTCTGCTGTACATGTGGAGATTATAAATACTATCCTGTCCCACAATGGACCCAAACTAGAAACTCTGGAGTCAGCAAGGGGATGGGCAGTCCTTTCTTCAACCAGCCAGCACCAGCTGGAACAAAATAGATAAACCTCACGATCTGGAAACCAGCTGTATTTCCAAAGGCTTATCCAATTTTTCCACCTATATTCATTTCTCTGGAAAGGTAAAGTAAGTAGTAAGCTCTTCTACTAGCAAGCAGTAATTCTGGCTACAAACCTGGCCTCATGTGCATGTTCAAACATCACAGTTACGCACGCAGAGCATTGATTTTCCTTTTCTTCCTTTTGGCACAAAACCAGATGGAGATGGTGAACGAGGGGACAGTGCCCCTTGCAATAACAAAACAATTAATGGTCGCTTCTGACCTCCTGGCTGTTGCCCTCATCTTTCCTTCTGGTGGGAGTTACTGCCCCAGGWCCCTCAGCCTTGTACTGAAATTTTTAATCTCTTTCAAATTACCTGGACAACCTACATCTCTCAGTCTGACCAAAACCACCAGTCTGGACTACAGAAACCTTCCCTCCTGATGGAGGGAATGCAAAATGTGGTTTTTGACAAACCACATATTTCTTCAGCATATTCCCAGCATTTKTTCTTCATTGCTAAAGATTTCCTGAGAAATCTAGGGCAGTTCAGGGCAAAAGAGGAAGGGAGGAAAGGGATCACCAGTAACATTTCTCCTGTTTGCTCAGGTAAAYAGGGGCATTTTCCAGTCAGTATTATTTTAGCTCCTAATTCACCCTCACCCTAAGCACACACTTGGGCAAACCCCAGTGTCAAAACAAATGSATGAGAAATTCCTTTCAGCCAAAACCAGTAAGAAGTGTTGCATGAAACCAGCAAAATGAAAGCACAAACCTCTAATTATTTTAATATTGGATAGTGACAGTGTTATTTTGYGTTGGGAGTACAAACAACCCTTGGCCACAGGTCATAGTGCATTGCTATTTTAGAAAACATTGGGGTTGGTACAGAGCKGTCCCTGGGCAATCCACTCAGGTAATTAAATAAAACAGGCTTTGTGATAAATCAGATGAACACACAAACACACAAGCAAGCAGTGGATAATGCATTGTTGGACGGGCAGAGTCGCTGGGTGCTTTCTCAGGACCATTCTCCCTCTCCCCAGAAGGTGCKTCTGCAGAGGGTTGGCCATGCAACCTTGGGGTGCCCTGGGTTCACAGAATAATTGATAATGATGGGGTTTATCCCCAAAGACTGTCTCTTGGTAGTGGCAATGATGTGTGTGAGTGTGCTGCCATGGAAGAGGGAAAACTGTGCTCAGCAGAATGTCAACTCAGGGACCAGAGTCCAAGTGTGTAGGAAAGGGGATTAYGCATAAAAGGAGAGACAAAAGAAAAGGAAAGGGGTGGGGGGGGAATGAAAAATAGGTAAAACACAAGAGAAGGAAAGATCCATCCATGTGACTATTGTTGCTGCAAAGTGCATGTCCAGCATATGCTGTGTGTTAGGACCACCAGTGCATGGTGGTAGAATGCACTGAATACACTCCTAAAGACAGC